TGTGTGTGTGTGTGTGTGGTGAGGGGGGAGTATAAAAGGGGATGCCTTCAAAGCTTAGCAGAAGGGAAGGATGTACCTGCTGTGTCCCTTACTCCCCCCTCCCCCAAGCTACCACTGAGTACAAAGATGCTTCTAATCAACAGAACAGAGATACTAAATGCTATATTGGTGCTTTTGCTTTTATACAGCTATCTAATGAAGAATCTTATTTACAGGTTATTACCTTAACTGTGAATATATATATAATATTATATTGTTGAATGTATTGTTTATTTTTCTTAGAAAGATGTCTGTTATATTTTGATATCACTGTAATGTTGAAAATTAATAAATTGATATTAATGTGATATCATTTTAATGTAAGATGATTTTCTTGAGCAATAAGTGAAGATCATTGACATGATGTAGTTAAAGCAATAAACTTCATAGCCTGATTTATTCATACTTTAATAATTGAAACATTTAGCCATGATCATAGTAAAAGGATTACCTTTTAAGTTAATAGGTTTAAATATATTGCAACTGTTTTAATTATAACTGTTACTCTGAATTGATGTTTTATATATGATTCCTGATAATTGAATGATATAATTGTTAAGGAGTAGATGTGGGGGAATTTGATTGAATACTTAGGATTTATGAAAATTTAGACAAAAATTGTCAGTTGTCATAATTTAGTTGTTGACAACTAACATTCTGATGTGTCACAAGTGCTTGTTAGTCTGAAAATAATCCTATCCAACAAATCTTAGATGACTTAAAAAAAAACCTTGGATCCTCTTTCAGAACTTTAGTCTGAAAGTTGGTATTAGCTATTATGCCAAAATTTTATACTTGTTCAGTTCAGGATAAATTGGTAATAGTCAAATGTTATTATTATTACATTGTAGTATTGGTCTTATACATGAAACATTTTCCTTGTTATAAGACGGGTCCAGCATGTCATTCAAGTGAATTACTACTGATTATTAGTATAGGGCAAAGAAGACCTACATTTTGATCAGAAAGTTTAAGCCAACTTACTTTTCAAAGTACATTTATAAATTAAATTGATCCTAGTCCATTTTGCGATACGGCCATCTACAACTAAGCTGTGCATCACAGATGTATGGTTAATAATTTGTCTCCACAATCCTCTTTTTGTTTAAACATGGTCACTTTTTAAGGAAAACATAGAAGAGATGCTCATTCTATTCTGTTTCACAATCGTGATTGAATCCAATTTAAGCTGGCCAATCAAATGTGGTATATATTATGCTTCCGTATAAAACACATTTTACTAAAATGGCGATTTGCCTCTAGTCAGTAGATATTCTACGCAGTTGTAGTAAACTATTATAGTATTATAGAATGATTAAGTTACTAGAAGTAGGCCTGAGTAACTCTTAGTGTCAAATAGATTTGGAGCTCATCATTTAAGCCTTCTTTTTTTGAGTGCCAACATAAATGTTAAATTTGAAGGAAATTTTGTTATAAGGAACTTGTCATTTGGTTAATTAATAGTTCATTTACAATTAAAAAACTTGCTTGTTAAAACATGAATGCATAATTTGGATTTGTCAGAGAATGTGCTTTTCTATAAAGGAACTCCAGAAATCAAAACCTGCCATTCTCTCCCTTTTGTTCCTCAAGCAATGTTAGAAAGAATCAGGTTGTCAAGCCTTTTTTTTTTTTTCAACAATAAAACTGACAAGGAGAGCTAGGATTTGATGACATTGTTGTTCTTAATTGTAAATGGGCTGAACAGTTCTTCCCTATTTTTTTATTTCCCCAAATGAAAGAAGAGTTGGGGGGATATTAATATTTTTGCCAATGGACATCAGCCGAGAAAACCCAAAGTCTGGCAACTTACTAATAGCACAAATCAAACAGGGTTATTAGAGATTTTGGAGGAGCCTGGTCAAAAATAATTATACCAGTTTAGGTGCATATTAACCCAAACTAACAGATGCTTTTTTCTTGTCTCATATATGAAGTAATAGTGGCAACAGCCAGGTTTTTAGATTATCTCAGATGATATCCATCATTACTGGTTTTCAAAATGAACATCAGCTTTTCAAATGATTAGAAAATGACCTTTAGTCAGAAAAAGCTGATAATCTGTATCTTTTTCCACACAAAATAAAAATGGACAAAATTATATTTTAAGTATGGCCTTGTTTGCTTCAGGTCTGCAACCTGCTTTCTGAAGGAACGTACAGTGGAAAACTAGCCTTTTTTTTTCTAAAAAGTAAAATGTAATTATCTGTTAAAGGGATGACAGTTAACTGTTCATATGAAATTCATATTTCACAATTAATACATTGTATAAAACTCCCAGAAATATTATAAATTCCATTTACCGACAAAACAGTGGTTATGATTCTGGAATCTGAGTTGCCATCAGACCACTTGGACATTAACAGATGGCCATATCTCCATGATAATATCTTAAGGAATTTCTTAGAGATCATTACCAAAAACCAAACTTTTTAGATAAAAAATACCATGGACTAACTTTGAATGTCAGACCAAATTTATTAACAATTGGTAAGTATGGGAAAATTGTCCTTTATCCCTTATACATTATTAGATCAAATTATATTTTTAGATCTTGATGAATGAGCACTTTTTGACTGAGAAGGTTATTTCTTTTTTATTTGGGTTCTTTGTGCCCAAACTAACTGGAGTGATTCATAGCACCAAAACACAGGTAAAGTCTGAATAGCGCCTTGATGGACCACCTTTTTGTTTGTCTCTTCATAGAACTTGTCAATACTTTTTATCTTTCAACAAATCGGTGGCTAGCTCTGTAATTACAGCCCAAGCAAACTGCACGTTCTTTGACCCTGCATCTGGAGAGCACACAACAAAGCGTAGGAAATAAGTATTCCCTATTTTAGAGGGAACCAGGTGTATCCGGCCATCTTGAATAATTCTTTGTAGTAGCTGTTCATTAACTGCATTGGAGTCCTGATAACAGAACAAAGTTTATTATACTTCTATGCAATTGAAAAAAAATTTCCATCATACATCATCCTTTTCAAAGGATAGTAAAGTTAACAATTATAAGTCTCCAATAATCCGACTTTTTCCCTCAGGAATTGTAATTTCCAGCTATTTTTACTTACACCATAATGTCAATATAATAAATTCCAAATTAAGACTTATGCAATGTGACAAAGTTTAATTTTTGCATTATGCTAACCTTGAGTCTAAAACACACCAATCCAAGGACAACTTGGCCAACAATTTCAAATCTTCTATCTGTCAGGACTAGCGTCTCAAACTCGTGTGCAAATTTAACATGCTGAAATAAATTTGGTAAAAAAAATGGATTATGCAGTTCAGTTTTTCTCTGATGCAGCCTTCTATGCTTGATATACCCAATCTAAGAGGGTCAAATATTTAGTTATAAAATAAAATTATTATTATTAGAATTGACTAGCATTAGCATACAGCAAACTCGACATACATGTATATACCTGTTAACTTTAATAATTGTTTATCTTGAACAAATATCTTGAAATGGAATTTTTCTTTGTCAAAAGCTCAAGGTTATGAATATTGCTTAATTTTAATTTTGGCACAATTACCTTTCGAAAAAATAAATAGTTTGAGGCAAGGAGTTTGCAAGAAAATTTGTATTCCTAGCAATAACTGCAATTCCTTCTTACAAATTTGCTGCAAATTTTTAGGAAAGAGTTTGTGCCTGACATTAGGTACACAAACAAAATTTCTTGTGACAAATTGCTTAAATTATGCAGAGTATTCTTTACAATTTAATGTAGTGGTATGGTAATAATATGTTCAATAATTAAAATGAAAAATATATTAATTTTACTCTTTAAATAATGTTTTGGCAATAAGATGGTAAAAGTTGATTTAAAAATTCTGAAAAGGATTTTTGTGTCAGGCAGTACATGTACAGTACATGAGCACCAACAGAAACAAGTGGCAGCAAAGCTATCCAATGTACAGACAAAAAGCAGATAATAAAAATGACAGTACGAAAATAAGTGCATAAATCAACTTTAATGCAATTATTACATTTACCTTATAAGGGTGTTAAAACAGCTTAATCACTAACTAATTTTAAATTATGTGGGGCTGTAAATAAAAAGGAATGATATAGGATGTAAAGAACCTGTCTGATGTACTCTTGTAGTCCATTTACACCATGTAACCTGAGAACAAACCACAGCTTTAAGGAGCGGAATCTTCGAGCCAGAGGAATCTGCCAATGCTAGAAAAATGATAACAGACATTATAGTTTTTATAAAATAACAATCCGTGGGATTTTTAAGCAAATCAAATCAAATTATAATAATTGGCAGCAATTATTTTTTCATTTAATCCTTGTATTTTAGGATATGTACCTTCTGTATCAAATACAAAAGTTCATTAAAAAGGCTTTTAAAATCCAAAAATATTAAAAACATCAGAAGAGAAGCATGACTATGACTGCATTCCCATATCCCATATCGATCTATCTCAGCGGGGATTCTTGCTAAGGTGCAGTCAGTATAATCAGCTTAATTGACTGGCATGCCCCTGAACAAAGCAACATGAACAACATCATGGACCACAAAAGTTTCCCGACTTTACCCAGGTACTTTAAGTTATTGGGGGTGGGGGGGTGGGGGTGGGGGGGGGGTGGATGGGCAGACATTTTAACTACTTAAACTGAATGCAATTTAGCAAGAATCCTCCAGTAGTTAGTTCAATCCAGCTAGTATGATAGGGTTATGGGAACAGTCCCTAATCTCTTTGGTAATGGATGGAGTAGATAACTATATAAAAACAGTTACTGTATTTTAATACTTAAAAATCTAGAACTGTAGATATTCTTCTGTCAGTGAGCAAAATGTAATTTTATAACCAGTCAATACCTCATCTGTGTACTGCTAGACTTCATCAATGAGTGGGGGTGTGCAAGATGTTACAGACAGTTGTAGCAGATGGAATGCTGGCTGGTAAACAAAGTAAAGTATCAGTTTATTGTGGCCAGAAGAATCTACATTTCTACTGCAGTAATATATAGCTGGATAATGAAACTTTTCAACAGTACTTACCCTGTAGTCTGTAATCTTCCCCTCGCCATCATGATGCATCAGAAGTGCAGAGTCCACATTGAATGTATTAACTAGTTTGCTGCTGTCTTTTAACCTAAATAAAAGGCACCATGTAGTGGTTTAATTACTTTTCATTAGAGGTGATGATATGTCAGGCCTGTAGCCTTGAAAAGGGGGGTTCTTTTTCTGAAAAAATGGACCTTTTTCCATAAAAACTTCCATGTACCTAGATCAAATTTTACCAAGAGTGGACCTTTTCCCAGCAAAAGGGGCGGTTCTTTCAAACCCCCTGAACCCCCCCTGGCTATGGGCCTGTATGTGATTGTGCAAAAATAATCACCAGTACAGAAATGTGCATAGTCAGTGAATAGGCAGAGGAATATCTAGACTAGCTAAGTGAAAGAATCTCTGTGACTCTAGTAGAGGATTCCAAAAGTTGCCTTGGCTTCAGATTTAAAGCATGCCACTTTATTTATTTATTGCTCCCATGTCTTTGATTTGAGTAATAAGTAAAATAGTTGAAACAACTAGTTATAATATTTAGCTTTAAGCAAGATCCCCCTTTATGAGATGAGATAAGAAAATTTAAATTACAGAAAAACATATAAATGACAAATATAATTAAAAAAGAACACAACTACTGTTTTGAAAAAAATCATTTTGAATCTCCAAATAATCAAGCCACTTAAATTTATAAGCAGGAATAAGTGAAAATTTGAATAAAAATAAAGAAGAGGGCAAACATGAGCTCTAAATTTATGGCTAGCCATTGGAAACATCATGGTAGTAACTTGGTTGAAGCAGATAAAAAAAATTATCATGAAGTTTCTGAAAATTTAATGCTTGACCCAGGATTTTGCTGAACAAACAACAGTGGGCAAGAGCAATTTTTTTATAACATATGTAACAGTGGCGGAAAATTACTTGGATTTGTCATGTTTCACCTGCATTTACAGTTTTTAGAAGAGAGAATGGGAACTTCCAAAGCTAAAGGGGAGGGTCAAATGCCTACATTTATGCATACATGTATAGTGCCTTTCAGTGCTCTGGATCCACCACATGTATAATTTACGGGGGCGTCTCGATAGTCCGTTGGTTCATTGGTCCGAAGGTTCATTGGTCCGAAAACTGGTAACATTTTCATTGATTTTTTAATCAAGGGTTCATTGGTCCGAAGGTTCTATAGTGAATATTCGGACCAATGAACCTTCGGACTATTGCTACGGCCCCTAATTCACACACACACACACTACTACTTCTACTACTACAACCACTACTACTACTACTACTACTTCTACTACTGTGCTTCGTAATTTACTTACCATAATGCTGAACAATCAAATGTCACTCTCATCAACTTGTGAGGACTGACATTAAAAGAATCTGCAAACTAAAACAATTGGGAACAATGTAAATTCTCCATGGGGCGCATGCCACTTGTACGGTTCCATTCTTGTTACACACCGGCGTCACTAATAAATCGGTATACCATAGTTATCGGTGACGGGCGGGGACATAAGACCTACCGGTCGCTAATACTTTTACTACAATTTACTTTTAAAAAAGATAATTCTAAATACCGGGACCGAAAGTGTAATTCTATGTCGATTTGTCATTCAAAAATCGGGGGCGTCTCGATAGTCCGAAGGTTCATTGGTCCGAAAAGTGGTAACATTTTCGTCGATTTTTTAATCAAGGGTTCATTGGTCCGAAGGTTCTATAGTGAACATTCGGACCAATGAACCTTCGGACTATTGAACCTTCGGACTATCGCTACGGCCCCCAAAAATCGATGAATGGAATTAGCGTTAGGTGTGGAGGAGTTAAGATCATATGGGGGCGTATTTCAATTCAATTTACATTATTATTATTATTATTATTATTATTATTATTATTATTATTATCTTACCTGTACCCCACTGAGCAGATATCGAAACTCGGGGCAAATGAAAGCACTGCCAGCATAAGAAGCATCTATATGGAGCCACATCCGCTCTCTGCTGCACACTGGGCCAAGTTCCTCAATGTTGTCAAAAGCACAGGAGAAGGCCGTTCCTAGCGTGGCACAAACCTGTTGTTCATCATAAATGAAGTATAGTAAGTTTACAAACGTAATGTTCAAGATGTAAAACATACAACGTACAATACGCCGGGGATTCGAAATAAATAAAGCAACAGGCTAATGCATGATTTTAATCATTAAAATGGTGTAATAATGTTTTAAACTGTTTATCAAATGTTTACACCGATTAAAAAATTTATATGATCACGTTCGTGTGTGAACGTAACAAATTCTAAATCCATTGCTTGGCTTGGTAAAAACAGACTAGTACGTGTTTCTGTTGGTGCATCAAACAGCAGGGGGAACTCTGCTCACGCCATCTCGATCATAAAGTTATTACAGAATAACATCTAGGTATTGCTTTGTATCCACAACAATGAATACAGTCAAGAAAGTATACTTTACACTTACAAAGATTGGTATCAATCCCTCTGCCTTGCTTTTCTGTACAGCATGCGCCAATGTTTCGCCACGTAGGGATTGTTGCTCGTCAGTGGGGAGCAGGACGATCTTTACTGCCCCAAACAGACCAGCACGTATCACTGAACTATGGGCCTACAAATACATGGGGGAATATAAGCTTTATTGTATTAACAAGGCAGAACACTGCCAAATGTACAGACAAAAAACAATATGAAAGAATTTAAATAAAATGCATCATATGCACAATAAAATGCATAATTTCAAGAAAAAGAATCCAGTCAGGCTGGATTTCCAACACAACTTGAACACGGTGATAAAAAAAGAACTTTAAAGAAGAATGCAATTGACAATTTTGTGCAAGGTATGCAAGTGTGCCACCAACGCTACGGAGGCAATGTGAAGCATATTTTGGAAAGAACATGGCTTTTATCCCAAGCGACAGATATAATTGAAACTTTGGGGAATGTTCGTGGGTAGACTGGAGTTAAAGTCCACTTCATTTCTTGAAATTTGCTGGACCTTCGTCGGATTTCATAAAATATTAATGAGTTATGTTTTTTTTTTCTGGGGGAGGTTTTTAAAAGTCTGAATTGGGAAAGATTGGAGTCTTTACAGGATATAAAGACTTGGAATGGTATATATACCTGATCTGAACAGTACCCCACCATCTTTGCCATGATGTCAGCCTCCGAAAGAGCAGGGTTTGCTTCCTTCTCTCTGAGAATGGCTTGATTCCTAGCAGCTAGCAAGCAAATCAACGTGGTTTCGCTGGAGCTACCCTACAGGTGTAAAATTTTTTTCATTATTTTACTTGTTAAGATGGTTCAAGTTTAAGGACATCGTTTATTCCTTTTTTGAAGTATGAGGCATATTAACTGGGTCTTTTGATTAGGGCCCAAAACGAAGACGTTCAGTATCTTTAGGAAACATTTACTTTTTTAAACACATTAATTACTTGAGAGGAGCGTATACAATACAGGCGATTATACCATGTGCCCAATCACTAATTTTTCCAAAAAAAGACATAAGCACCAACTAATAATAATAACCCGTGATTGTACGTTCAGAGACTGATGTCGTGATCAGACTGTCATGAAATTGGATTGTAGTTTAGAGTCATCTTTATGTTTCGTCGTCCAACCTTTTGGTTTTAATACTAAGATATACGTATAGTTTTTGTATAATTTTATGACAGATAGGCAGTCAGACGGACAGATAGACAGACATTAACTTATCATTAACAAGTAACTAAGGGATCACCACCAAAATCAATTTTTAAATGAAAACTAGTCCTCAGCTTTTTCCATTACGTTGCGATCAGTCAATCAGAAGAACAGACAAATAGACTTATGGAACCAAAAGCATTACGAGATTAATAGAGATATAAACAATTGTTGAATGCATTAAATAAAATTAGATGACAATCAGTTTAAATGTTTAAAGTGATATTTGATGCGCTGAGAACATCTAAAATGCATTTCAGAATCCTACATTTTACATACACAAACGGGTCACTGTTTTCTCTAAGTGTATTAAGTTTCATTAAAACAATCACCTGTCGCTCAAGGAGTTTTGTCAAAATGCGATAGGCGGTGTAACAGTTCCATGTATTTATATTGTTGGCGAAACGCCTCTACATCAATTCAGGCTAGTTTGACTACGATTTTGCCTCAAATATCTCAAAGAGTTTTTGGGCCCCAGATGACTGAAGTCTTACCTGAATGACCCCGCCCCCTTTGCCTCCAGAGCAGAATAGAAACTGCTCTGGTAAATCCAGCATCTTCCCCAACCAGTCCATCATAATCATCTCCAGTTCCGTGCATGCCGGATTGGCTGCCTGGGAAAAGAACATAAGTCCGTGTTTTCCTGTTATTGATAAGAAAATAACAAAAAGGTCTTTGCTTCTCCCTGAGTTTCAGAGGGCTGGAAACTCGCCTCACTACGCGTAATTTCAGCATGCGTGGCAGGGACAAGCTGGTAACATAGAGGCGAGTTTCAAGTCACATATGGAACTCAGACTGCTTGGCTTAAATGTCTTTAAAAGTCTCATTTCTAATGGTATGGGGCAATGCATAAAATACAAGCCAGTTTCCAATACTTTCAAAGGCACAGGATTCGGTAGCTAGACGGTTCCAGGGGATGCACAAGCGATCACTCGTTATCCCCTTAGTGGCCTTACCTTCTGAGGCACTTCCCACTTCTTCCCCAAATTAAGTATCACGGATATATCATATCCGTGTCCTTTGAGATTTTTATCCTTGTGCCCCCTACCCTCCCACCACCCCTACCTTTGTGAAATCTTGGGTCCGCCAGTGTACGGTAGAAACATTCAGCTTACCCAGGTAAATCCAAGACCACCCATAGCATCGGAGAGCATGTCGGCACAGATGGCAGCGTAGGACCTTGCTGAAGGGAAATAGCCGTGGAACTGCGGGTGATTCCAGTGCGCTGTCTAGTGTATTGTTTGATTTAGATTAGACACAAAATATATAAACCATGCCAAAAGAATATAATATAGAGATTATAAACCATTAACTTCTTAGCAGTAATGTGAAAAACAACACTTTATTTCAGATACAAAATTTTTGCTGGATTATGATTTATATTAGATTTCTGCGATTTACCAGCCTTTTCTCAAATGAGGAAAGCGGCTAAAATGAACAAATCCAGATTTAATTAAACAAACAATCCCCTTTGAACCAAAAGTATCGTCCACGGAGATTACATCTAAAAGGCATTAAAGCCAATGTGTTACTGGTACGAACCGACTGTATATTTTACCATGTGTATTTTATATTCATCTGCGTGGCGCATGCGCAAACGATAATTTACCTGTGCGCCTATAAGCACTTACCCCAGGCATAATTACCCGCTCTATGTCACCAATAACGTCCTCCCATGACTCAGCAGTTTCTGGGGCAGCTTCCGGAAGGAGCTGGCGCATATATCCGGGCTGCACTGCTGGATATACCGGACGTTTCTGCACATTCTCTAAGTAATCAGCCACCATGTCTACTATTTCTTTCCCACGAACACGGAACTCTGCAGCATCCATTTGGCTGTTAATTGTCTATGATAAAATGACAAAGGAAAGCTTTCGTTTTGGTGACAACTTGACTAAAGAGATAAATTTAGTTTTTCATGTTGTAAAGATACGTTTTTTTTTTTTTCGTTTATTTCATGTAATTATATCTTGAATGCTTGTTCTTTAATTTTACTTTATGTAACCACACTGGATAACAAAGTTGTAAAATACCACAAAATCTGCCTTGAAATTTGTGAAAATCAACTAATCATGCTTGTCAAATATTGTTGTTAGTTGTGACCAATTGTGTTAAATTGTGTTAGAGGTGACTATGCAGTGGGTCCCTCTAGTGGTAAAAAAGGAGTGAAGTGAGTAGTTTTCCATGTTGGAGAGAGTGTGGACTTCATGTGGGGTGAAGTTGTGACATGTTTGTTGGTCACACGTGGTTTGAATGTAATGTAAAACTGTAAAATAAAAAAAAATTGAACCAGCGCAAGTTTTTATTTACTTTTAACTTCAACAATGCTTATATACTAATTCAGTCTGCCTTTTCACTAAACGACACCTCTTGGTAAATTTTTTAGTTTATGTGCTTGGCACTTACTAGGGCATTTCAAATGTTGCAAAAAAATAAAAAAAAAAAAAAATCCATTATAACCAAACACAGCTCCTTGATAAATTTGGTATAAAACAAAAATAAGCATTAGCAGTTAGGCCACACTTTTTTATTTTTATGGATGACATCCTCTGGGTACCCCAAAATCGGTGCGAGAGGGCGAAAAAAAAAACAGTCCAAAAAAAAAAAAAATACTGCTTAAGTAAATGGAATGCTGTCAGTACACAGCTGGAAACACAAATTTTACCACAGAAACACGTATCAAACTAACAATATGTCTTTATTCATGCTCTCAAAATATTAAAGCATTGTGAATACTTCGTAGAAATGTTAAAAAAAGTCATGAATAGATATACTTCATATTACCAAATCTATTTAAGGTTATTTCATGCATTTTGTTGGTATAGCAATCAATAAAACAAATATCAAACAAACAGTGTGTCTTTATTTGTATTCTCAGAATATTAAAGTATTTTGAACACTTCACAGAAATGTTTAAAAAACGATGCAAAGATATGCTTAATACTACCAAATCTATAAAAGGTCATTTCGGACGATGCCATTTTGTCGACTTCGACTCTCATGAAGCAGCCAAACTGTCAGGTGGCCTGTCCGACCTTCAGCCCAACAAATACCTCGACGCCCTTGTCGACCATTTTTTTCGCTACAGAAAACCTGGTATGTGCTGCTTTAATTTGTACAGAATGTCACAGAAATTTTTCGGGCGATAATCGCTGGCTGCCGCCAGCCTTTCGCACAATTGTAAAAAGGTGACATCTCCATGCCCAATATCAATGGCATACCAATCCAAAACGACGGCGCCCGTTCTCTTATGACTTTTATTGTCCAGTAATTTGAAAGTAATCCTAGAGATGAATTTGACGGCAAAGCGGCCACATTTCCACGTGGCGATAATACGCATGCGCAGAAAGCTCATTTCCTGGCAAATTCAAGAACTTCTTGCGACAACCGACTTCATTGGGGGCTGGAGGGGGGGGGATTTTTTTTTTTCGGAGAACGGGCGAAAATCGGTGCGCGCGCAGGATGTCATCCATAAAAATAAAAAAGTGTGGCCTTATGGGATGAACAAGAGATTGTCGGGTGAGTTACCATTTCACCAACACACTCCCATTTACATTCTAAATGGCATATCTCACCGGATTCTAATACAGGAATGAAATACTGGTGCGGTCTTGTGTGACCAATGCATTCTCCGGATGCTAGGCTACAGAACCCTTCTACATATTGATAACGCACGTCTTCAGCGTGCAAGAGTTGCCAAAGATTCCCCTTCCACAGAAAGGAGTGGTCTGCCCTAAAACTGTACCTTCTTCAAACGCCTGGTCGTAAATTGGCTTACCTACCCGTCCCTCCAGTCCATAAAATTCCGTCAAATGGCTAACCGGGTAGGGTACAGGTACAGCTATAATGTATGGAGCATAACTGCTGCCCTCGCAGTTATCAAGTCTTAATGTCATGTAATTTGAAACTATATGGTTGGGTTAAATGGCAAAAATATTTTATATTTTAAGTTTATGTGCCACGAATAATATTTTCAGCAGCAGGTTGATGAAATTTAACGCACCACGACCAAACCTGATTTATTTTACAACTAAGATGACTAAGACTCACGCAAAGAAAATATTGCTGCACTGAAACATTTCAACCTGCTTTGTTTTCCAGTCCAGGATACAATGATTTAAGAAAAGGGGGGGGGGTATGAAGCAAGAGTAGTTAATTCTGTTAACAGGCACGGTTTATGCGAATGCAATCACTGAGAATAAAATCGGAGTCCAAGTAACTCCAAACTTGGAGTCCAGCAGTGGTGCCTAAAATAACTCCCAATTGGAGCCAAGTTGACCCTACAGGAGGGTCCATTCACACATCCCTTCATTTTTCTCTACAAAAGAGTCACCATGACCCCATATTAAGGAATTTTTGACTCCTTGGCACATCATGAACAAAAACAACAACATCAGTACCAAGGGGAGAGACAGCAAGTATCGTTCTTTTCTGACTGTTGTGTCCCTGGACGGGCTCGAATCCACGTCTTCCTAGTTTAGAGGCGGACACTGGACCATGCTGACACATGGGGTGTCATAATAATAACAAACACTTTGTAAATCTGGTAATAAACAGCATGACATCTTTATATTATACCACAATTAAATATACCAATGAGTGAGCATACCTCTCCACTGACATGCATTGGTGGGTCAATTCTACAACCTCGAAACAAAACCTGCTGACCTGTATACCAACATATCACATAAAGGGTGTAGCAACTGAAAGCCCGGGCCAGTAATAAGTGCACGAGTTCTGCATGCAGAAACACACAGAAAACCACTTGTTCATGCATAAAACCAACTATGGCCAATAAAGTAATGTTTATACTGACAAAAGATGATGAAAACTGTTCTTTCCACGCCGTCAGACTCTGCTTTTAGAGTCAAATTTACTCCAGGGGGTGATTGACTCTGATAAGAGAGTCTAAAGCTCTGGTAGTTGGGTAATTTGACCCTTGTACTGTATAGGAGTCAAATTAACTCCATGAGGGTCAAGGGGTGCTGGACTCTGACTAGAGAGTCAAATGACTCCATTTTTATTCTCAGTGATTTTAACATTGTTTCTAAAGAGATTTAATGTCGGTCACTCGTTTGGCACGACGTTTCGGCCCTTCGTACGAGGACCTTGATTACATTTAAGAATCTATGAAGATACTCTTTTACGCGCTTACGAGTAGCATCTGTTTGTGACTTCTGTAACTACTAAATACCTTGAGGAAAAATCGCAATAAAGGCCACGTTCTCTTAAAACCAATGATCACATCAACTAATGAATTGAACTTATTTCGTATACTGACCCCCATTCTAAAATTACCTGTTCAAATCGCCAGTTTTCCGCTAGAAAGGGGTACGCCTACAACCTCTTTCGTTGACAGACAATCATTTGTGAAGACGGAGGTTAGATTATTGTAGCACAAGGGTGCGCGCCAGAAATACATTCGTTTTGGATTACCCTCTACCACAGGGCCACAGGTTGATTTGTCACTAGATATTCACAGATATGTATCTGGTTAAATTGAAGGTAATTCCCTGCACTGTGTCAGAAAAGTCCACGTAATATAATATGCGGTCCTTGTCAATGGTAATTTTGGCTTGGAACCGTGTTATCTGGCCTCAGTTGTCCCCAGGAAATTGAATGGCAAACATGAAGTTTCCTAAATGGCTTTCAATTACCATAAAAATATACACCTAGCATGAATTTCAACATAAATAATGTTGACCCTCACCATTATTTCAGCCTAAATATACACTAAGCATTTTTCTAAACGCATTCCTTTACTGTGGAGAATCATACTGATGCATTTTGATACAACCAAAATGGCTTTAACAGTCCAGTCAGAGAAATAATTTTCACTAAAACTGGCTCATGGTATTGAATTACATGCATTTATGAGCTCATTACAAATTCTAGATGTTTTGCTGATTTAAATTGCAGCACTTAAGTTGTGTGCAACGTTTGAAGCTATAAATGGTTTCTCAAGATGGCTGTCAAGTCTAACAGAAAAATACTTAACAGCCCCTGAAAAATATTTTGGCAGTACGTTTTCAGCGAATCATTTCGATTCTTGGTCGAAATTTTGAGCTATAGAGACCTTTATTTTGCAGATTGTATAAGGGTTTGGGTGGCCATAAATAAACTTAATATTTTTCATTAACTCTGGTTGTTTTTCCCCACAACAAGGAATAACAAAGCTGATATAATTGAATATGGCCACAAAACCAAAGGAATAACTTTTGATTTGAATGGACATTTCAGTTGTACACAGGGTGTTACGTTTTCCATTTTTAAGTAACATAAATAATCAATGTTCATCGATTAAACTAATTAACATATACACTCATGTTTGCGATTATGGGGTAAAAATTAAAAAATTGGTTTCTCAAAGTTCTCCTTTACCAGAGCACCCCCGAACACGGTTTCAACGCCAATTTAATGACACCATTTACTACTCCAAAACCCTGCCAGCAATTTTACTAAAAAAAATTAGTTCAGATTGCATTGCTGATAAAGCAAAATACTGCCTTTGTAATTAGAGGCTAATAACTCCATAACAAAAAATATTTAGACCAAAATGACGGCACGATATTGTTAATTCTAGGTGCTCTATTCCAACTTACGAAAGTCTTGGTAACGGCAAGAGTTATTCCCGGATAGAAACGTTGCGCAACACCGCAAATCGTTTCTAAAACCAAAAATTAATTTATTTACTGATCATCGTCTGGTTTTATGGAAGAAATCTGCATGAAAGTAATTACAAAATAGTAAATCAAGTATAGAATACAATTTTTATTTAACTATCATGTTCAATGATGAACAGTAACATTCATTTCAATAGGACTTGCAAGTA